GTGACGTGAGGAGTGTGACAGTGAGAGTGGTGTGTGACAGTGAGAGGAGTGTGTGACAGTGAGAGGAGTGTGACAGTGAGGTGTGACAGTGTGATTGTGACGGTGAGAGGAGTGTGACGGTGAGAGGAGTGTGACGGTGAGAGGAGTGTGACGGTGAGAGGAGTGTGACGGTGAGAGGAGTGTGACGGTGAGAGGTGTGTGACGGTGGGTAGGGAAGAATCTTTACATAAACACTGGTTTTAGCCGGGAGAACAGTGGCACGTTCTCATTGGCCAAGTGTATACGTAGCGAGTCCTGATTGGCTAAGAGTATCCGTGGTACTTTCTGATTGGTTGAAAATAAAAGTTTAACGCTATGATTGGCCTGAAGTTTAAATGGCTCGTTCCGATAGGTCGAAACTAAAAATAGTCACCTCTGATTGGCTATGAATTTAACTATGACGTTCTTATTGTTCAAGACTTAATACTAAACCTTGATTGGCCAAGACTCTAAGTGGGAGCCTCTGATTGGCTAGGCCTATTAAATGACACATTCGGATTGGCTGAGACTATAAAAGGGCACACACTGTTCAACCGATGCGATAAACGGTATACTCTGATTGGCCGAGGCTTTCAATGGCAAACACTGATTGGCTGAGAAATTATGCGCTATCGACCCTTTGATCCTATTGGCTCCTGAAACCCTGGCTGTTTACTCCGCTAACGCTGATTGGCTCTCCCGGTATAGTGATGATTACTGAAAGACGATGTGAGGAAAGTGAAAAGAGAGAGAGAGAGAGAGAGAGGCAGTGTAATAATAATAATAATAATATAATCAACCTAACCCACCACCTACCCCCACACACCTGAAAAAACACACCTGTCCTCCCCTGATTTATAACCCTGACCATTATAATTATTTTTTCATCACCTGATAAAATATACCAACAATTAAAAGGTCATACAGGTTAATTATGTGATTTTTACCTGTGTTAAATAGTTTGTTTTTCCGTGTGATTTTTTTCCTTGACAATTTTCCTAACTGATGATGTGATGTGATTTTTTTCTGATTTTTTTATTTATTTTTGTATTTTTATTAATTTATTTATTTTATTATTATTATATATTTTTTGTATTATGAATATGGAAATTATATTATAAGTTTTACATGTAGGTGAGAAGAACATACACACACACACACACACACACACACACACACACACACACACACACACACACACACACACACACACACACACACACACACAGCAGGTAAAGACACAGGCAATTCGTCCTTGCATTTGTGAATTCGAGTGTGATGCTGCCTGACTTTCCTCCGCCTGAGGGAGAGAGAGAGAGGGCGTGAAACACGAGGCATAATTGAAGAGCGTTAATAGCTCTCACATGGGATAGTCTGGTAATTATGACGTGCTATTGTGGGTCAGGGAGAGAGAGAGATGATGGTGATCGATAAGAGATATGAAAGAAATAAAGAGACGCACACACACACACACGCACACACACACACACACACACACACACACA